TATAGCAGCCCTTTTGTACAAAAGCGTTGTCTAATGTGCACTGTTAAAAATCACTTTTGGCGTAGAAACTTATCCCCAAGGTATAACCTTGTTGCCTGACCATATAGAAACTTAACCCATAAGGAAATAAATGGGCATTTCACCCTTATTTATTGCAATATGACTAATCGATCTACCAGATTGAAAGGATTCGTGAAATCTACTATAAGAATAGTCAAAGAGCCTTCTTCATATTGCTTGCTTAACACCCCGTTGGCATTGTGAAAAATGGCCTCAGTATCACCCGATACCCTGAATCCAAACTAGAAGTCATTAAGATAGCGTGTCATATCCTTATTGACCCCTTTCATTGCAACCTTGGATGTCAATCTCCTCCAAATAGAATCCATAAAAATGGTCGTATCCCACCATTAGGCTTCAATTATGGTGTCAAGGGTGCAAAGACAATAAACTCTATCAAACGCATCGAGCATCTCCCAACCATAGATTAACAACTAGAGTAATCGCACATAAGAGATCTCTTGACACATCATAACCTTCTCCACACAATATGTCAAATAAGTATTGTGCTTGCAAACCATCTCTACCATATGAAGTTCCTTTGAAGTGACTTAATGTACCTGAATATAGTATCAACTTCAGCCACTATAAGAACTTCGAAGAACAAGGTGGTTGGCATGGAGAGAGGTGATTTGTACAAGTGTTTAGTCTTTAAAGCCTTCATATTATGTGTATTATAGGGGGGCTACGCCAGATGACCCCAAGATTCTCACAATCATTGTGAAGTGACCATCTACAACTTTATAAAGACATTGTTTGACATTAAAGCTCACCTTTACATCTTTCTCCTCAATAAGAACTTCCTTATGGTCCAACTTATCTTGCTCAAAATTACCCAACATACTATCAACTAATTTTTTAAATCTTTTGATAATTTATTTATATTATCTACTCAATCTATAAAAGAAACAAGTACTTTTTTATTAAACTCAAAACATTAAATTTATAAAATAAAAAGCAGTTGGAATCGTAAGTTTTTGTTTACTATAGGGCAATATGATATAATGCTACATAATTTCATAGCAAGTAATTTTCAAAAAAAAAAAGTTGAGTCTAAATTGCCAATGTTTCATAGCAAACCATACCATAAGATTTGGTTCGTTAATTTAAATTCGGTTTAGTAAATTTTGGTTTGATTCATAGGCAGTTTGGTTTGATTAATGTGAATTCATTTCGGTTCGATTCTATTACGATTGATTTGATGACACTTTACATATTAGACATATTAATCCTATAATAGAAGTTTGAGTTAATTATATCATACCTTCATATAAACGATGGAGTTTTGATTTTACCCTTTTAATAATAATTTTTTGATCCCACTTAATAAATTAAAGTTTTTTCATTATAAATCTTACGTGATATCTAAGAGCATGATTATCGGTGTTTTTTAAGAGTTCCTACACATTTATTAAAGAAATTGTGTCAATAATAAATGGATATTTCACTTGTTTTCACGTTCCTGAACTCATTTTAGATTTTTTGATAAGTTACATGAGTATTTGAGAATTGTAGATGAGTTGTTTAAAAAATTGATAAGTGTGAAATAATATAAAAAATTATGTGGGTCCCATTTAAAGAACCCAAATGGGTATGATGGATGTGGATGCTCTAATTGAATTTTTATTTATTTTTAATTTAATTTTTATGAGCCACATGAAATTAAATGATTTTTTTATTTCTTTTATATAGAATTTTTTACTTTTTTTATTAACTATTTTACTTTTTTATCTATTTTTTTAATTTTTTTTTACATTTTCTTATATTATATTTATTAATATTTTTATGAAATTATATTTATAAATTAATAACTAAAATTTATTTTAGGGCTTAAAGTCCACTATCTTTCAAGAGTCCATTAATTGAAATTTTGAAATATGTTATGTGAAAGAGGTATATAAACTCTTCTATTTGGAGAAACTTTTTCAATCTGGGACTTCAGATGCTATTGTCACTATTTGATTGTGATGCATCAATAATGTAATGATATAATCTCCGCAACAAACCACCATAACTCACCTGCACAGCCAAACGCAAACCCTCACAATTAATTCCCTTCCATACACTTAAACATACCTACAATCCCACTCAAACCTCATTCGATCTACTCACAAGCAATCACTCAAATCGCAACAAAATAAGGGTTAATAGGGATTAAGGGTTGTTTTTGTTTGTGTTTGTTTCATGTGTTTGCATATCTTGCATCTACATCCATGGCGGCGAGATTGAGAGGAACAAATAAGAGATCGAGAAATTGAGTTCATTTTCATATGTTTGTGGTATCTGACTTGAGACTAAATGTTGAATCTTGAAATCCTATGTGTTGAAAACATGGATTAAAATTGATAGTTGTTAGAATAATAATGCAAGTGTGAGTAAGTGCATAAATAGTCTCATATTAGACAGGAATATGGAGAGTTGAACATATATAAGTGGAAGAACCCACTCACCTATCACCTTAAGGTTTTAGGTAGATAAGTGATATGTCTCTCACAAAGGTGCATAATCCTCAACATTGTATCAATGATCCCTAGTGAATCCCCCCAATAAATAGTATCCAAAACTTTTGGTTATTGTTCTTGATCGAGTTTTCAAGAACTTTACGTCAGAGATCGTGTTTCCAGGACAAGTGAATCAACCACTGCGAAGATGGTTAGTGATAAGGGCATTCCAATGCTTGACGATAAAAATTGGATCTGATGGAAAAAACAGATGCAATCCTTGTTTGGCTTCCATAAAACCCTAAAAGTGGTTACCGACGGTGTTTCTGCACTGGCTGCAAATGCAACCAACGAACAGAAAAAACCTCACAACAAAGTCAAGAAGAAAGATTGCAAAGCCGCTTAATGCATTCAGACGGCGGTAGACGCTACTAACTTCGACAAGATTTCTCATGCTGAAACAGAGAAGGAGGCATGAGAAATTTTTGTGAAGTATCACGAAGGAGGTGAGAAAGTCAAGGTTGTCAAGTTACAAACCTTGCATTGACGTATGAGTTATTATTGATAGGAGAAGATGAAAAAGTTGCAGAATATGTGTCGAAGGTTCAGAAACTCATCCATCTCATAAAGGGTTATGGTGAAAGTATAACAATAAGATGATAGTTGAGAAGGTAATGAGAATGTTTACCTCTGACTTTGATCACATTATCGTAGCTATTCAAGTATCCAGCAATCTTGGAACCCTAAAAGTGAAAGATTTGGTTGGTTAGTTGGAGGTGCATGAGACTAGGATTTTCGAAAGGAAAAGAGTTCAAGACTCGATACAGGAACTGCAAGCTCAGTCATAGAAAAGGAATGGTGTTTCCAATAATTTCAAAGGCAGTGTCAACAAGACTCAGGGAAAGAAGTATTGGTCTAACTCTCACAAACATCAAGTCAAAGACAGAACTTTTGAATCCTCGAAAAGAGAAGGAGGAAACTATCAAAAGGACAAAGAAGATAAAAAAGGTGTGTGTTGTACCCCATAATTTTCCCTCCCATTTTTCATTCATGATATTATCCTAGGATTTCTCGAATACTCAATTTGGCTCAGAAGTTGATCAGACAGACTCCCTTCCTAGGCAGTAAGTCAACAATTGGGATTTAGTATTTTTCAAGCAAAAATGAGTTTTCAAAGTTTCAAATGGTCTCCATGGTTCCTCATGTATTCTCAAGGATGCTTGTGCCAAGTTTCAAGCCTCGAATCGCATGTTTGCTCAGTCAATGGTTCAGATGACTGAAAACGAATTACATTGACCCAAAAAATGACCTTTTGTAAGATCAAGTTCAAACTATTGTAACCTCCTCATTATTAGATATTTTTTAGAGTCTCTTTTTGCATATGACTCTCCTTGACGTCATCTCCAATTTCTCTTCACAAGTCAAGAGCTGATTACGTGCGAAATATCATCAGAAAAATTCGAGTACTTTAGAGGTCTTCTGTAAATTTGACCTAATCACAAGAAACTCTTGTCCAATTTTCGAGGCTCATAATTTCTTCAATTTTCAATATTCTGAAGCGGTTCTTTTTGCGAAGTATCACAAATAGCACTGTCTATGAGATTACTTCAACGATCAAAGTCAAAGTGCGCTTGGAAGACCATGAAATTTATTGAAATTTTATAGGAATTTCTTGACTTTAGAATGTTATTGACTTCTAGATGTTGATCATTATGTTGAGATAATTCATTGAAACAAGAGTTTGAGTTTGAAGGTTCATGGATAGTTTGTTATTTGTACTTCAAATCATTTGCGTTTGAATGATAACGATTATTGGATCGAAGTGGGATTTTGATCAAAATCCTTAAAGGAAAGATTCGTAGTATTGGCTCGTATTTCAAGTTACTATGAATTGAAGGTATGGGTTTTAATGAAGAAGATTCGAGGATCCATTCAAATAATTCTTTTTGCTTCGGCTCAATTCAAGCTTGTGAGGCATAATTCATTCGTATGAATTTGTCTTTGCTTCAAGATATTCAAAAGGATCAATATGCTTATGGCGCAAGTTTAATATATTTGAAAAAATTCATTCATGTGAATTATTTCGAATTCAAGGCAAGGAATTCATCAATTTCATTCATCTTCGTTCAAATTTTCGAGCTTTATTCAAATACAAGATTCAATTCAAGTTCCTCACATCTTAAGTTCATCAAGAGAGTTTGTTACATAAATTTCAAAATTAAACTTTGAATAAAATTCATCATGATACAAGACTTTTGAGTTTCCAAACTCAAAATACTTTCAAAATTACATAGAATTTCCTAAAGTTCTAAACCTATGCTAAATGAATCTAAGTCTCATGAACTTCTATGCCATTTAAAGCTTGTTACAAACACTTTTACTTAGTCCCCAAAACAGTCCAAAAGAGAAAAACTGTCAACAAAACATGCTGCTATGCTTGCTGCCACCAACTATAAAAACAGCCCCACAAACCAACCTTACTGCCCATAACAGTCTGCAATGTTGCACACACTTGTCCCAAACCTAACAGCCCAAAGTTTGCACACAATTAGCAATACGAAAACTGCAGCAAAAAGCAATAAAACAGTATGCAAAATTTGTTTTAAAAAACTCATTAACTTCAGCTACAACAACATAAACAGCACCCGCAACAATAATAACAACAACTTTCACTCAAAACCTCTACTCTTTCGGTCTCTGTTGCAACTTCTTTCGCTCCTAACAGACCATAATACTTCACTCCCTGCGTTCATTTTCCATTTGCCCTGTATATACATACATAACACACCAATCAATAGAATTGAAAAGAGCAATGAATCAGTCTGTATTTTAAACTCGAATCTGTGACTATATAGAGTAGGATTTCCAGTTGTCGCAAATACTTCTAAACAAGGCCTAAGCTAAGAATCAAAAGAGTGAAAATTCGGATAAGTATATCTGACAGAGATAGAGTCCATCGCCCTTGGGTTCCCGATGAAACTCCTTAGAGATTTGACAGTTGCTTTCACAGATCTTCAAAATAACACGTACAAATCGAAGAGGTCTCGGATCTTGATGAAGATTCAAGAGTATACTCAACGAATTCAAGAATACAATGATGATGCCATGGATTTTCCGGTGATCTCAGAGCGAAATAATGTTGCAGATGGCTTCTCCTTGATGATAGGGTGAAGAAGCAAAGAGAGTCCTCCAGATTGGAACAACATCGAGAGTGTTTCGCGATTTCGAGATGAGGGTTTGAAGAATATTCTTTTTCGAATATGGAAGAGCATTCTAGATGAGAACTTGAGAGATTTTTGTTGCTTTCTTTTAGAGGGAGAGAGATTTAATTTCGTTTTTATGACAGCATAGAGAAAGAAGAAGATGACGGTGTTGTGCTATTAAGAGAGAGAGGAATGTGCTTGTTTTTTTCCTTTAATCATTTTGTTGTTGGAAACAATAATAATATTAATTAATTTCCTCTTCCCCATAAACTCCAGCTAGCGGCGCCTCCTTTAGTGTTTTAGGGTTACAATTTTCTTTTCCTCCTTCATCCGGGTCAGTCCATTGGGCTGCTAGCCCAATATCCGCTAACATTTTCTCTTTTGTTCTAATAAAATAATTATTATAATGAATAAGTACACAACTCAAATGGAAGAACATATCACTAACAGACCAGGAATCCTGGGTTCGACGCCCCTGGGAGGCCTTTTTCTATTTTTTCTGTTTTATTTCATTTTCTTGGATTGGATGAAACAATTGGACCTTACCCCAAGCCCAGTTTGTCCTCACACCCCCATATTCAGTTTAACACCACCCATCTACTTTGTTTTGTTTTGATAATTAGTTTGACTTTATTTGTTTTACTAATTTAATAAATCATGTAGTTTTGTTAGATAATTTTCTTAATTAGCTTAGTTCTAAACTTAATTTAGGAAAATTTGTGAATAATTTTATTAATTAACATTTTATCTGTGGTTAACATTTTATTAATTTATTTAGTTTCTACATAATAAAAAATACCAAAAGACAAAATATATACAAATGATTTAATTTCTTTAATCAATTATTTTCTTTAATAGAATAGATTCTTTATTTTTCGTCTCAAATTTTTCACAAACAAAAATATCAAGAACTTTATTTTCATACTTTGTCAATTAATTTTATTTCATAGGTTGTTGTAGTTTTAATTAATTGTTCGATTCGATTTGGTTGTATTGATTTCCTATTTTGATTTTTAATCGCATTGATCCATCCCTATTTGTAAATTTGTACCCCCATTCTCGAAAGCTCTGTAATAGCATAGATTTTTAATTTCCGCAATTTACTGTTTTCTTTATACAGTATAGTAATTAGGTGTGTATGGCAAGATTTAAAATCAAACATAGCAAAACCCTAATCAAAGACAAATCAACTTGAATCAAACACACTTTTTACACGCGCACCTCTAGGGTAACCTCACTTGTTGCCTCAGAAAAACAGCCATGTCCCTCGAATGTGGGACGCTTTAGCAAAGACCCTTCAATAAAAAAGATCGTGGTCCCTCGATGACCCTTCGACGTTGCCTTCGGTAAAACGATCAGACTCCACTACGAAAATTGCTAAAGTGTCCCATAGGTTGCCTTCTATGACTATACAAGCATCCCACACCCGTCCCTTCACATCCAATGATGGGGCTTCTTATCAAATCAATGGTAAGATAGCAACATCTAAAGGAGGAGGAAAAGAACATTAGACCTTTTTAGTAGGTAGGATGCTCCTAGTTGCTCGCTTGCTCACAACAAAAACATTTTATACACCAACACTTTCATTTGAAACATTTTCAAAAGTTAAAACACTTTTTACGCATTCTTATAGAAACGAGAACCATTACAAAGACACCTTTTTAAAATCAATTTCAAAAACACATTCCACAAACACCTCTTTGAACTATTTTCAAAACCAACACTTTATACGCGTTCTTATAGAAACGAGAACCATTACAAAGACATTTTCAAAATACTTTCGAAACCCACACCACAAGCACATTTTCAAACAAAATCAAGTGATTGATCGGGACTTTATGAGTCGTCGGGATACTAACTGCAAGTATACAGTTCAGTTGTTCTAGTTTTAAATGATTATCGAACCCACAAAGACTGAGGATCAATCGCATACGATCTAATGTTACAGTTTGTTTAACTAAGCGATGAATATTCGATTTTAGGGGGAAACAGTTTAATTAAAAATAATAGTAATAGTTATACCGGTATGTGATAGTCGGACTTCGGGAATTCGGTGAATCGCTTGGCCTATAAAGTATTTCGGTAAAAACTAATTATTTAAAAACCTGAGACATACACTCTCATGTTCATGAAATAAGTTATGCTACTAAACCTAGTGGATGCACTTTAAATTTAATAACACTTTTTGAAAACAATTTGAGTTTAATTAATTTATTAAAACACTCTCGTGTATTTAAAAATTAATGTTTCGTTACCACTATCTGGGTTGAACCTCAGCTCTCGCATGCAGGTTCTTGCCTTAATTAATTTCCCACTCTCGTGGCAAAATCGTGTTAATTAACCTCTCACTCTCGTGACAAGGGTAGTTAAATTAAGCATGGAAATTGGAAACCAGAAATTGTTTTATAAATAAATTTTTTTGGCCAAGGTATCACTGAATTTTTTCGGTTCTTAAGAGTCACATACCGGTACGAATAATTTAGCCAAACATAATAGATTTAACAACAATGAAATTCAAAATATAATTCATAAAAATAATTGGCATAATACAAAAATGAATAAATAGTAATTGCAATAAAAAACTGGAATTAACGTTGTTATGGTAATCTTGAAATGTTACAATATTCCTTGCAGCTTGATTGAAGTAAATAATTTTGTGTTAATTCTTGAATGAAGAATTAACACCTAAAACTAAAGCTTGAAATAATACTGGAAGTAGGAATTACAGTATGTGGAAAAATGCTCTAAAACAAGGAAATAAAAATAATGGCAAAAGTAATAATTCTGTTCTGGGAAAATTCCTTCGACCCTTTCAGCTTTGCACTACCACACATATATATAGGAGAGAAAATAACAGTTGAAAGTCCCTTGAGAAAAGGCTCGAGTGGAGGAAATATAGGGAGCATGGTTGCTGAGTGGAGGGAAAATAGGAGAACAAGTCTGCCCTGACGTTGCCCACGTCTCACCAATTCACAACGTTCATCTTTACGCGCGTGACGGTCGTCACAGGTGGGTGACGGTCGTAACGCGCTAAAATAGCGCATTACGCTCGTCAGTGATGTGTGACGAGCGTGGCTTCAAGTTGGGGGTCGTTGCGCCCGTCACAAGGGTGTGACGACCGTCACTGCTCCAAAATTCCCAAACTTTGCAGTTTTAGTTCTTTTTCTCTTTGTTTATTGTCTAGCCTCCTTTATGTAGTCCTTTTCCATTGGTTTGAGTTGACAAATGTTATACCTGTGAAAAGACAAATAAACTCGGAATAATCGGGAGTTAGACGACTTAATGTATTAAAAATCGGTAAAAAGCGTAGTAATTATATGATACGATTTCTCGTTATCAAATTCCCCCATACTTAAACCTTTGCTTGTCCTCAAGCAAATAGTCATTCGAAAGGTCGGACAAGTTTTTTCAAGCGCATAAGCATGACATACCTTGGATTTTTAAAGTAATTTCGGGAAATCCTCGTCGGTTCGGCCAATACTTGAGTGAAACACTAAAGATACGCTAATGACACAAGCAATAAGCTTAGTCGTAGGCTTCCATTTCAAACGAGCTATCCAACAGTTCCGTTATAATTCTGCCTAGAGTTCCTCGTATCTATTTCACCCGGTTTTGTTCTGGCACAATCACATTAAGCCTTTTGTCTTAGCACGCACGCAGTGGAGTAACCGGTTAGTGACTTTGATCCTTTTAGCACAGGGTCTGGTACATGAATGTGGCAATCCTACATATTTTATCCAAGTTGGAGGTTATGGGGGATCGAGCCATAGCACGCCCTACCGAGTTCATAACCATATACCTCTGAACCAACCTACACTGGATTCCTTTATTTTCTCAACTCTTATATGTGACCGTATATTTTGGTGCACAAAATTTCTTTTCTTTTAGCAGCGAGATACGAAGGATATTTTAATGATCAGACATCAAACACTTATATTCATCGATTCTCCACGTGGTTTGTGTCAAGACGGTGCCGACTGCTAGTATAAACTACTAGGGGTTACTGTAGAACTAAAAACTCTAGATGTCGGTATAATGGTTATTGAAACGGATCGCGTAAATAGGAAGTCTACGGTGTCATAATCGTATCAATCTTGTTATGTCTTTTTCGGCTTCCCTAACTGGGGATTTCGTTAAAATAGGTATGTCGGGCTAATGCGAAGATAAATTTTTTTTAGTATGGCTGAATAAAGTGAAGAATTTTTAAATCGAGATGTATCATAAAAATTACTAGTTTATAAATGAAGGAAAGGTACCTCTCCCACACTAAATCCGACATTGTCCTCAATGTTGCGGTGTATAGGCGGGGAAGTACAATTACAAAAACAAACGGAAAGGAAATGAAACAGAAAAAATAATAAACTACATAAAAAAATAAAGAAAAACTACTGGTGACCACGTCCTCTACTCCTGGTGCGAGAGCGTCTGGTAGGAGTGGCTTTTGTGTCAGTGTCTTGGAAACCAAGGGTGCTGACGTCCAGCCTTAAGGCGTTAAGCTCTGACAGGGCCTCATCTAACCTCTCATTCATGTTGCGCTGCCCAGTCAAGATTTGAGCGTTTTGAGCGCACAGAGACTCAAATTGCTCGTGTTGCCTTCTTTCAAGTGCTGCGCTCATTTGGTTTTGCATATTGTGATCGGTGGATCTGGAACTGACTGTTTAACGCTGGTTCGCGAAATGTCTCGGAAGCAAGAGTCGCCACCGTCTTTTATTTTCTCCAATTGGAAAGGACAAAAGCACAGAAAAATTCCTTAAAGAGATTGCTCTCGGTTCGGGAGGTAGGTTATAGAAAGGGAAGGTGTTAGCACCCTTTCTATCCATGGTTATCCATGGGCTCTTAGATACTTGCTCACTTGTGTTTTCAAAAATGGTTTGTTTGCTTTTCAACTGTGGGTTTTAAAAAGTTTCTTTGAAAATTCCAGTTCGACTCTTGTATCGGTCCTCAAGAGTGTTTGAAAAAATGCTTTCG